TATTACCATTGTTTTTATTATTATTATTATTTATATTGTTGTTATTATTATTATTTATTTATTTATTTTTTTATTTTTTTTCATCATCATTATCATTATTATATCTTTGCCTCGCACAGACTGGCTACACCACGAGTATTTCCCAGTTCTGCGGAAGAGACTACGTCAGACATACGTCATGGCACGTGACAGGCTACAACAGCTGGGGTTGGTGGTACATCCTAGCTCCAGTGGTATCTTCATCTGGTTTAATGCTGCTCGGGTAAGGGTCATGTGACTGCCTGCCAGACTCAACACGTATGATGGAAACCTATCAACAATTCCAGGTCCGATCTCAATGAGATCGAGCACATTAGACAGTGAATCTTGAAAACTGGGCAAACATCTAGATCTAGTTCTAACATTTTTAACTCGTCAAGGCATTCCTATCATTGCCAATCACAGTGCCTTTCAAAGATGTAACTGCTCCTTTGAATTTCCAAATTAACCCAAAAAAATAAACAATTACGGCATCAAATGTGAAACAGACAATTTGGTTTATAATTTATACATATATTTGTGAAAGTTCGTCACTTTGGCCGCCTAAAACTTCCTAGCCACTTAACTTTCAAATTTGACAAAATCAATGGTGCTTCAGAATCATTTAAAGGGTGCACAGTTCTATTGAGTAGCATGAAGTCATTGTAGTTTAAATTTCAATTTTTCATTAGTTTCGTTTAGATCTAATCTTGGGAAAGTCCGTCTTCTAAGACACCACTGTAAACAAGTTAGGTTTCCGTTCATTTGCCGCGCACACTGTTTCCACACCTTTGAAATTATGGAGTGAACAACCATGAAAACGGAATAGAGAATCAATCTATACCTCACTATATCTAAACCTTCTAATGTTTTGCATCTCTCGGGATTTATTGCTCCATTCTAGTAGAAGGTAAATATAGTAGACTAATGACTTTCAGTTGATGTTAAAGCACCGATCATTCCTTTCAACGAAAGGGGGCAAAGCTAGTAAAAATATAAATGTATGCACTCGTCACTGGACCTTTTTGAGTAGCAGGGTTTATCAGCTGGTCATTTATTAATCTCCCTCCCAAATCTTCCCATCCTTTATATTTTCATTTTCCGAATCACAGACCGATAGGTGTTTCTCTCCGTAGTATATGCCGGACAGGAGCAAGTCCGCAGAGATGTGGCTTTTACAGAAGTTTGTGTTGGAGAAAGTGATCCTCATCCCGGGAGACATTTGCGAGAGTCGAGAGCCGGGATATTTCAGAATGGTCTTCTCTGTCAATCCGGCAGAACTCAATGAAGGTATCATCACACCAATTTTTAAATTTTTTTTAAAAAGGCAGTATGTAGTGCGGATAATAACATCATTCTGTCTGTCTAAAAAATTGGTTTCATGGTAGTGAGATAAAGGGACTGGTGCCAATTGGATTATTATCATCGTTCAAGAGAACTGATTCATTAAAGTGAGGGAAAATTGAAATGACAAACAATCAATTTAATTATTTTTAGTAGAATCCACTACGATACTTTTCTCTCCC